GGAGCTGGAAAATGTTCTTCTTAGCAAAGTATCTCAAGAATGGAAGAAAAAGTATCCAATGTACACAGCCCTATTATGAAATTAATTTATAGCTTTCATAGGAATGTTATAAGCTAATTATAGTCTTAGAATATGGGGGTGGGGGAGGAGAGGGGATGAGGGTGGATGGGTGGAGGGAGGGTGATTGGTAGGGTCACCTCTATGGTTTATCTTACAAGGGTACAAGTGAATCTTTCTAATAGCAGAGTATGAATGTCTTAACTCAGTAACTAAGAAAATGACATGAAGGCTACATTAACCAGTTTGATGAGTGTATTTCAAAATATATATGAAAATACCACACTGTACCATGATTGCATTAATGTACACTGCTATGATTTAATAATAATAAAAAAGATATCTTACATTCTCATTCTCATAGTTGTATTCAAAATCAGTGTGGATTTTACACTTGCTTGTATCTCACTTTGACTAGCCATTTTTCAAGTGTTCAATAGCCACATCTGGCGAGTGAGGACCTATGGAGCATCAGGGTCAGGACTGGATGAGTCCAACTCTTGAACATCTAGAGTTGGAGCAGAAGAGGAGCTGACAGTGAGATTGCAAACCCCGATCAACTGGGAGAAAACAAGACTGGTGTTAAGGCAGCTGAAAGGAAGGGGGCTGTCAACTGCCTCAGCTGACACTAAGAAGTCTAGGAAGAGAGGACAGAGAAATGATCACTGCATTGGGAAAGATGGTGTTGTTTGTCATCTTGGCAAGACACTGCACTGGGGGATTCTCCATTGTAGTGGAAGAGAGAATGGGAGGTGGAAAGAGGAGACTTCTCAAAGGCAACACATCCCATAGCTGATCTGTCTCTTCCAATACTCTCATCTTCTCTTCTTGTTATTTTGATCTCTGTTGGGGACCCAAACTAGAAATCTGGAAGATACTCTCAAGTCCTTCATCTTTCAGACCTCATGTGCATTATTATGAAGTCTTTTCCATTTACCTCCGCAATAATTAGTGATTCTGTCTCCTTTGTGCCATTCCTACATATATATGTATATATGTGTCTAATTTTAAGACAGAGTCACAAACTGTCACACTGGGTACAGTGCCATGGTGTCATAGCTTGTAGCAACCTCCCACTTGGGGTCCAGGGATCCTTCGACCTCAGTTTTTTTGTTTTTAGTAGAGAGCAGGGTCTTGCATTTGCTCAGGCTGGTCTTCAACTCCTGAGCTCCAGCAATCCACCGGCCTCGGCCTCCCAGCGTGCTAGGATTACAAGTGTGAGCCACCACACTCTACGGCCATTCCTATGTTTTAGAAAGTGGTGCCAGACCCTTGCTGTCTCTGGCCTTTACTACTGCAGCTTCTTTCCGAATAAGCCTCTAGCCTTGCTGTCTTCAAAATTCCAGAGTATGGGGAGGGTGATACTGTATTACCAGACTGAATTTTTAAAAACACTATCTTGCAGTCTCGCTGCTCTAAAAGCCTTGCCTGGTTTAGTGTTTCGACTTCTGAGTTCCTTTGCGGGTAAATGCAAACACATCCAGGGTATGCCCTTACGTCCTTAATTACCCTTCCTAACTTTCCTCCCTCTCACCAATCCCCTCAAACAGGCACCGTGACCTACTTAGTTTTCCTAATTGCAGCCTGGGGACCCACTTCAAGGAGCTTCAGCACCGGCCCCTGACTCCCAATGCCGGCTCCGCCGTGCACCTCACCCCATTCCCAGATGACCTCCACAGACATTTTTAAGGAATTCAGTGCCAATTTCTGCCACTGTTCTCGTCACATTCATTCATTCATCAACCGCATTTTTAAGTACTAGTTTCTGTCGATCTCTCCAACTAAACCCCGAAAGAGGTCCGTTGAGGTCCTCTAAACCCCCCGTTGAGGTCCGTTGAGGTCCTCTAAAACCCCCCGTTGAGGTCCAAGAGCCGGCCTTATTTGTATTCCCAGTCCCGGGCACGTCAGAAGGTGCTCGATGCAAGCTGAGCGGAGCGTGCCGCAAGAAAACAGGCCGCAGGTGTAGGGGGGTCCCCCGCCACAGCTCGAATCCTCGGGAGGACTGGCGTCCAGGCCAGAGCGAGGCTGCACTTTCTCCCGGGGGCAGCGCGCGGAGTCTGACTTGAGTTCAAGTGTCAGTGGCGCAGGAAAGGACAGCGCGGGGACGGTGACCGGCTGGGCGTGGGCCCTAAGGCTGTCTAACCAGGAAGACTGCGGCCCTGCAACCGCCTGGCGCACGGACCCGCCCCCGTCAGGCCGCCGTCCACGTGATCACGCCCTCACGTGAGGCTGTCCCTGCGTGACCTACCGGGGCGTCATGTGAGCGCCGCGGTCATGTGATCGCAGTCTGGGGTTGGCTCTGGCCGCGTCGCTTTCTCCCGGGTCCGGGACGTGCCCGCGCTTTGGCCTCTCGGTCTCGGGTGGGCGCGATGGAGGAAGAGGACGAAGAAGCGCGAGCGCTGCTGGCGGGCGGCGCGGCCCGGGATGGCAGGGACAGCCCCGCGGCCCCGCGGCCGCTGCCGGCCCTCTGCGACCCCGGCCGCCTGGCGCACCGGATCGTGGTGCTGCTGCTGATGTGTTTCCTGGGCTTCGGTGAGCGGCCAGCGGGGCGGGGCTGCCGACCCGGTTCCCGCCTCTCCGGAGCCGGGTCCGCACCGGGCTCGCGCGGGGCCGCGCTGGCTGCGCTTCCCGCGCTGCTCTGCCCTTCGCGGCTCCAGCTGGGTCGGGAGATGTTGCTGGTTATTAGGCGAATTTTCGAGGGTGGTGGTCGGGGACAGCGGGGCGGGTTTGGTCCCTCTCCTCTGCTCTCCACCAAGTCTCGGAGGCCAGGAGCTCGCCCCGGACCCTGAAGCCGAGATCTCTCTAGATTCCTCTTAGCACAGTCGGTGTCGGGGAGAAGTTCACAAAGACTTCACTACCCCTGTCCCCCACCCAAACCCCCAAACGACCTGCCTTTTTTATTTTAATGAAATAAAATTAAAATAAAAATTCCCTGGGCAGTCGTTGTAAGGTTTTTCACCCTCTTTGAGAAAAGAAGCCTTGTCTTGCTGATAGCGAGTGGCTGTTTTCTCGATCGTGAGCCCTTGGGATTGTTAAGCAATCATGCTGGCCGGGACTGGTGGAAGGCTTGGCGGTGGTTGGTTTTACTTACGAAATCTGATGACTTAAAAAGTGGTTTTCCAGGATGATTTGGAAAATACTTTTCTTTTCAATTTATTCTGCAACTATTCTAAGGTTGATACTAGTTTTGTATTAAAAAAAAAGTGTTTTTCAGGAGGCTGGCTGCAGCCCGTGTAATTAGCAGGCTTAGAAACATTAT